AGCCAGCATCAGCAGTATACAAGAAACCTTCGTTATCGATGTGAATTCCATGTGGTAGGTAGAATCTAAAAATTTTATGGCTTTCGAAGTTGTGCCAAATATCTACGATTTGTTCTTAAAATTTTTGCTAAAATAATTCTAGCTTACCATGCACCAAAACGTAGTAAAATTCGATTCTTGTGGAACCACAGCATTTCAAATTTGAAAAAAATATACTTACTTTCCCCCTCCTAGCTTCTTCACCAGATGAAGCTCATTACCGTCCAGAGAAACTATCAAAATCACATCGTCCTTGATTGGTTTTTGATCCTTGAGCACATTATGCTGATCAAAAGTACTGAAAACCAATAGAATATTTCGCAGAAAACTAAAAAAAACTCATACCTTTGATCCCACACTCTCCCAGCTCTATGAAAAACTGCGAAAATTCTCTCGTCTTGAAACGCTAATGAAGCAATTTGGCCAAGTTTTACATCTCCAACACTGGTGAACGCTCCTTTTTCGATGACACCGAAGGCTATCTAGGACGATTATTTGTGAAACAATTTTTCAGGAAGTTGACCGTATGGTATCAAAATGATGGGAAATGGGCGGGACGCGCTGCTAATCCACCAATCCCGTTCAAAAAAGAGAAAACATCTATTTTCTGCGGGAAAGAACTTTATTGTATTGCAAAAAAATTCCCGTTTTGCAACAGGGTGACTGAACCTCTTCTTACAAAAATCACAAAATTTCAGCGTAATTTTGTTTATTTTCTTAGTTTATGTTTACGTCAATACTCACTCCTGTTGCATGTGATGAACGCTCCAGAACTGGACGAGCCGGTAGTATTCGTGTGCCTTCCATAGGATAATCTTTTGAAACCTCATTCTAAAATATGATATTCACCAGGTACCTCAATATCGAAAAAAAAACAAGAACTATCTCTTACAGGTTTCTCATTGCCCACACACATTGAGCCGTTCGGAAATGGATTGTTTTCACTAGCATTGTAGAAGTACATCATGTAGAAGTTGCACATATCAAGCGGTCTGTAACATCATGTTGTATAGATCTAAAATATAATTATCTCTCAATGCGTCGGTTATAAAAACAATTGATGATTTACCATAAATGCTAGAAAAAAAA